ACGGCATATTATAACAAATGAAAAGGAAGAGAAGTTCAAGTAAACTAAGTATAGATCAACAAGAGAACTACAAGAATTCAGCTAGTTCTTATATAAAAAAAAATACCTATCATTCCGGGGTATCTGTGCCCCAAAGTAGAATGCTACAGATAGCAACCAACAATCACTATGCACAGCAACCAGTGAAAGCCAATCTCTTCGATTCATACCATCCCTTGCAAAATTTATCCCAAGGGCAGGTTCTGGAAGCTCAGGGGGGACTTCCTCGGCAGGGAGATTGACTTCCCAAGTTTCGTTTGGATGGCCATATAGGCACAAATTCTCCTTTTCTACACAAAAGGAATATGCAGCAAAAAGGATTATGTAGAAATGACAAGGGGGAATAAAGAATAAAGAAAAACCAGATGAAGCATCTAGTTTTGAAAGAATGCGAGAAAAATATAGGGAAATAAAAAAGGAGGCTTCTTTTTTAAGGCTTACAGTTAAAATTAATTTTCTTTACCCCAAGAACTCTTTTTATTAAACAACAAATTGTCATTAATGTTTAAGGTTGCAAACTTTAATTTTCTTTTCTTATGAGTTACAATCAAAAAATAAAAAAGGAGGCCATGGGTAACACAGGCATACAACCACCGAAAACAAATGATAATGGATTAGAGATATTTTACAAATTTTATTTTTATTTACAATTATATTCAAACACTGCCACATTAACTGGGCGCTCAACCGAAGTAGACGCATAAAGGAGTGAGCTTCGTTGAACAGAGAACACTCTGTAATAGTTTCAATTAATTAATACGTTCACCAAATAGCTAACAAATTCAGAAGAAATTATCGTATTTGGATAACTAACAGCATATAATAGTTGAGCATTAAAATAAGCAGAGCAAATCTATGATCATCTTTCCTACGACGAAGAAGGAATATAGTCCTACACGTTCCGGGATCCGATTAACAGTAGAAGAAGAGTCAACCCCAGAGACGAAATAATTCCGATCTATATCAAAAAATGGTAGATCCTAACTGAAAATTACCTGGATCACAAAGACCGTAGAACTCGTCTACATCTGAAAGAGCAAAACACTCAATCAATCCCTTGGTGAGAAATACAATAAACGAGCATATTTCCGTGACAGGAAATCAAACTTAATCGTGAATGAAGTTACCATGAGTTAAGGCCCGAACAATTCCGGCCCTACGAGCGCTGAAATCCTTGAAGATCTCTTCTACAGTTCGAGGACTGGAAGATATTGAGGCCATTTCTTAAGCTTATTCTGAGATCTAATACTCAGAATATTTAATACAGGAATTTCAATCAAAAAAAAATTGATGCGAATTGACGCAAGAAATGCTAAATCATTGTAAATGTAAAACAGGAGAACAGAATTATGTATAATCCAAATAGGAGGGATAAGACAATGAATGCTGAGCGTGAGACCCGAGTGGCATCAATATATAAACAAAAGCTCCGTTTGTTTTTCATTGGGTCTTTTGACGAAGTTTAATTTTATTTTAAAAAAAATAAAATAAAGACATTTTGCCCAAAAAAACATATTACCAACTAAAAAGGCGGTTTAAGGCAGAAGAATTCCAAAACTCATGAGATTAATTGACTGCAATTTTGAGAAATTTTAACTACTTTCTTCTTTTAATAAGATTAAATAAGTCATATATAAATCAAAATACATTTAGTTCTACTTTTAGATTTTGCTCATATTTTATTCTTAGAGTAATTTCCTTAAAATAAAATGCACCATTTACATTAAAGTTTGTATACCATAAAAAAATACTATTTATACTCACCCCACCAATGTGAGAGGTTGTTTTTTTACTGCGAATTTCGTTGATAGACAAAGGATCTTGGGCGATAAGAGGGACACAGGGGCAGACGACCACAGTCGTATTCTCTTCAGGATCGTCGTCGACTAGAGAGGAAGACAAAGTCCAAAAGGGATGAAATGTGATGGTGATGGTGATGTGCAGACTTTGGACAACGGATATTAGGTAAACTTAACAAGCGGCAATGCGGGGGGCGTGCTATTCTTGGGGCAGGGAATGGAATCCAGCGATGGCTTTGAACTAGAATGTGCCTATAATGAAGACGAGGTACCGATGCAAGGGGAAGAAGCAGTCAAGGCGATCTGCCCCCATCCTGAACTACCGTTGTAGATTTCAATTCCAAAGGAACTCCCGAAGACAAACAACAGTTTTTTATTTCTCTCGTTTCAGTTTTATTGTGTACTCTATTTTTACCTTTATCATTGAAAGTGAGGGTAGGTGGTTCACTTTTTGTTTTATGTTCATGTCTGATAATTTGTTACGTAGCGATAAGGCTAGTTTGGTCGTTAAAAGTTTCAAATCTCTCGATTAGTCTTGCTCATTTTTTAGTGGTCTATTTTGCGTCTGATCGAGGAGTGAGGGGGCGTGTTGGCTATACGAAGTCTAGAGGGGAGAGTTGGTTTATTGTGGTTGTTGGGATGTTTGTTTTTATGAATTTAATATAAGCTCATTCCTTTCAAAAAAAAAGAAGAAGAAAGAGATGCCCATTTATTTATATTTATATTATTATATTACATACTTTGTACCATACTACGTAGTTTCATATATCGTCGACATGTGTAAAAGAGGATTGAAATTTCGAGTATCTGGACACTCGTTTTCTTTTTCACACACTTCATGCGTCTTTGGATTTGGATATAGTTTGAGTTTGGAGTTTGGATGTTGACAAAATGGGCAGTAACGATTAGGGATATATAGACTGGGACAGGACGGATCAAGCCCTCCGCCCGGGACTGGATGGGCTTCAAGAGTAAGGAACTCAAGCCCGATACCGGCCCGGGTATGCTCCGGACCGGAATCGGGTCAGGGCTGGGTCAGTACCACCCATTTAATTAATTTTTTTTTTCAAAAAAAAGTGCATTTGGGCCTGGGTCAGTACCACCATTTAATTAATTGTTTTTTCAAAAAAAAAAAAGTGCATTTGGGTCTAGAATGGGCCCCAAAAATCAAGCCCAATGCCCGCCCCTTATAAATATCGGGCCGGACCCCGGGCCGGGGCGAGCCTAAACAGTAAGAGGCCGGGCTAGAGCCGTCAACCCGTCCCAGTCCATCTCTAGTAGCGATTGGTGTAACACTTAAAAGATTTCAGAATATATTATAACGAAATGTAAAACTTAGTCTAAAACTATCTTTTGATTTTTCATTTTTTTACCACAAATTTCTTAAATAAGAATAAATATAAATAAATTGCACAAATATGATCATCATTACTTCATCTTAAAATAAAATTCATCCACTCCTAATAGGAGAAGTTTTACTCTTAACCGGATCGAATAAGTCATATTTTAGAAATAAAATACAGTTACTCATTTTGTAAACTTTATGTATGTTTTAATCATATTTGGAGCAATTTCTACTCTTTAATCTGAATAAGATTACATTGAATTTTTTAGACAACCCCTTAAAATACCCAATAATAACAATAAACTAAAGCATCACCAATATGGAAATTGATCTAAACTGCAGATTGAATTTCTTACACCACATATTTTTGTCTAATAGTAGTATTTGATTTTAATGTTTATTTTATTTTAGTTAAAATTATATTCAAAGGCACACCATATGATATAAAATAAAAGTATGTTATGAAGTGAAATGTATAAGGGAAAATTATGATTAGCCCCCTGAGGTTATGCCATAATTGTTAATGCAACCTTACATTTTCAAAAATCAATTAGTTACCCCCTAAGTTTTGATTATTTTCACCGTTTGCCCCCTCATGTTAATATTTATTAAATTTAATTTAATATAACTCTTAAATTCAATAAAAACTATCTAGAAAATTAAATTTTAAAGTAAATCACAATTTATTATCATTATTATAAGTCATTGTTGTTTACCGTTATTTTTATACTTAGCTACTCAACCGTGGAATAATGAAAATAGTTAAGGGAAAAGACTCACGGGTAAGATATAAAATATTATGAATTTATATTTTTTGTTTTAAAAAATTAAATATCATTTAAGCTTATTAAATTAATAAACTTTTTTTGAAGAAGAAATCATCAAAATTAGTTATAGAATTAATAATAAAAAAAATTAAACAAATCAAAATCTATGATATACAGAGTATATTTTAGTTCTTAGATCGATAGGTTTCATTTATTCAGGTCTTATATCGATACATTTTTGTCTTTTAGGTCTCTTATCAATACTAAATCAATCTTTTAGGTCATGGATTGATAAAATTCATTTTTTCTTGGTTCTTTGCTACATATGAAAGAAGTGTTATTGAGATTAATTCATCCAGATGAATTACAAATAAGACTTTTATATTGATGATGAAGAGGTGTATATAATTTTATAACACATATTTCAAATAATATTTCTTTTATGTATCCCATGAATATTACTCAATTGAGACTTTTCTACCTTAACTACTTTGATCAATATTTATTTCACAATCGAGTAGCTAAGCAAAAAAATAACGATAAAAAAAAGACTCGTAATTATGATAATAAATTATGTTTTACTTTAAAAATTAATTTCACAGACAATTTCATTGAATTTAAGAATTATATTAAATTTAATTTAACAAATATTAACATGAGAGGGGCATATAGTGAAAATGATCAAAACTTAAGGAGTAACTAATTGATTTTTAAAAATGCAAGGTTGCATTAATAATTATGGCATAACCTCAGGGGTTAATAACTTAATAATAATTTTCCCAATGTATAATGTTCAAGATGTATTATCTAAACTGCAGATTTAAATAATTAAGACACAAGGAATAATTTCTGAATTAGACTCCCGACTTTTTCTTTGAAAACAATTCAGAATTCGATTTGGGTATTATTAATTTATTATCACTTTAATTTTTGCACTCGTCAATTTCGTGTCATGTTACAATTTCGTGAAAGTTGCAACCTGCAAGTAATCGACAAGGAACCAGGAAATAAAACTTACGTGGGTCAGTTCCACACACAAACACATCATTTTTATCATCAAAGTGATCAAACCCATTATTATTACAACCAATTTGAAGTTGGAAAACATTTGGCCATATAGTATGGTCAGGATAACCCAATTTGAAGTTGGAACGCCTTCCGGATAACCAATAAAGTTGGAATACGGCAGGGGGCTACCCAAAGTTGACACTAGATGGTCCGAGCATAGAGTAAATGTTACAGCTTACAACACCAAAAATTAATCAAACGCATGAAAAATAACAGCATATATAAATGGTATCATATGAGATTGGCATTCTGTGTCTATTCTGGAATGACAAAGTTAGTATTAATGCTTTTCAATGAGAATCCAGAGCACACGAGCCATCAAATTCCTACCTAACTTGCCACAGATGATTCTGCTACTGCCTCTTTATTATTATTACTATCATCATCGAGATTACTAGTATTGCTATTGTTGTTATTATTATCTGATGGAGGTTGGGGAGGTGGTTGTGCCTGGCTTGAACTTTGAGAATCAGATGCAATCCCAAGAACCGCCAATACCGACCTCGGAAGCGATGATTTTATGTGTGGTTGGCTAGCATGCGCAACCAACCCACCTCTGAGTGCACCCACTTTATTTAATGCATTTTCAAGTTGTCCAGCAGGTAGCTTCAAATCCAGAACCAAAACCAGATGTAAAATATTACTACCAAATGCAGAGTAATAATTAATAATTTTAGTATTTGTATATGACTATGTTTAATTGGTTTCAGTACAAAAATCAACAAACCTGAAGCAGAACACTGAAAGACTGTGGTTTCGTCAGCTGGGCGCATTTAACAAATCCTACCCATAACTTCGGATATTTCCAAATCTGGTTAAAGACTAGGCATTTTAAGACCTTGTAGTGGAATTAGATTATTATTATAAGCACACATTTATATACAATATAGATGGATAGTTACTGCTGTACCTGTTTGCTTACAAGGCGGGAGAGTATCTCCATTATAAAGTCAACCTGGAACGTTTTTCATATTATCAAATCTCAATGATACAAGCAAGGGGGGCAAGGGAAAAGCCAAAAGTTTTTATCTGAATCTAAGGGTATGATTGGATCCCAGGCAGGGGAAATGAAAAACAAAAGTCTGAGAAAAGTTATTTTTTGTGTTTGTTTTTTCTTCAGAAGATGCAGACGAAAATGACATACGATCAAGATTTCTTTAATTAATGTTGAGATTGATTAATCTTTAAATAAATAGATATGATATGAGTTTGAAGAAAAAATAGAGTTTGAACTGATGTTTTATTTTCCCCGACAATATCATGCCTTGCAAATCTATCCCGTATTATCCTTCATGTTTCATTTTCCTAGCATATTACAAGTTTCCCTAGACTATGTTTGGATCCTGGGAAATGAAAGAAAATGTTAAAGAAAGTTGTTTGCTTTTTCCTCAGAGAGTGTAAGATAAAAAGAAATGGTATATGTTTCTAAATTATTTACATATGTTTAGATTTCTTAGTAATTATTAACTTATATAATAGAAATAAAATTTAAAAGATGAATTTGAACAAATAATAAGCATATATAGAGGTTGAACCAATGTTTTTAAATTTCCCAACATGTTCCTTCAAAATTTCTTTTATAATTTCCTCCGTATTTTCTTTTCCTTCAATGTAAATGCACCCATCTTATTACCAGAGAAGGGAAAGCACCAATAGCCTGTAATACTGTTCTCATAAATAACAAAGGAGGAGGAATGTGTTCAACCTGCATAATAAAAATGATTCCATTATACACTTTAGATTACAAGTTGTTAAGGGTGGTGGCCTAGAACAAGAAAATAAGAAATATCTGGCAAATCTTTCAATTCACCATACCAGTTGGTTCAACACTTTTGCAACAACTTGCTGGGTAAACATCTGTCGCTGGTCAAAGCAAGCATTACAAGCATCCGTTACCTGCTTAAATAACATTCTCACCAACATTGAGTTAGAAGTGGGGGGGGGGAGGGGTAAAAACATTATGAGAATCAGCAAGGTAAGGAATATATTTGCCTTCTTCAAGGGAATGTTATCTCTATCAGGATCAATTCCATGGATAGCAATTAAAGCTTCTGCAGGAGTCAGTACTGGACTAGAGCGAGGTGATTCCTGGGTTAACGCCATGTCAAATAAAGGTCAATATCAATATCAAATAAAGGTCAAATCATGGACTTCAGAGAACTAATCATTGAATTGTGAAAGCTTAGCAAACATAGCATTCATTTTTACAGCTATATATGCCCATATGAATCCATTCATTTGTAATAATACACTAGCACTTGCAACAGTAAGCAAGAAATATTGTATTCAAGAAGTTCATAAAGTGGTCCACACAGAATGCTTTTTAGGCCAATACATGGGAATAGAAAAATGGAAATGGCACCTCCAGAAGGCAAGAGAGAGCTGCTTGAAATTTATCTAGTGGTGCATTAACAAGATGTGGGAAGATGGGCAGGACCTGGAAAACAAAATGAAACAATTATTGCTCAAGGAAATAAAAAAGAAAACAAACAAACAATATGTGACAAGGAAAGACCAATTAAACTTGAAAAGGAAAAATTCTACATTCAATGTATAAGACAAGGATGCAGAAAACTGCAAACTAGCAATAAAACTAAAAAGAAGAGATACTTCGACCTCCGCAAGTTATTACAACATGTTGTAGTAAGATCATTCTCTGAATACTAATGATTCCAAACACATATACCACATTAATTACTCCCTCTGTCCAACTATATACGGAATATATTTCATCTTTCCTTTTTCATCTGTCCCACTGAGTTTGTCTCACTAATTCATTGTTACTTCATCCGTACTTTATAATATCAATATCAACCACACAATTCCACTTTCCATAATAGTCTTGTCCTTTCACCATGTCTCAATGTTCATCATCAACAACAACATCCCAGCCTTAGTTTCAAAAGCCATGTCTCAATGCTCATAGACAGAAAAAAATATTTAACTCTACAATATAAGAAACTTATCAAATTAAACCTTTTTATTGCAACAGAGAGGTAATCAAAACTCTTCTTGGAGTTTTACAGTTATCTTACTCAACAAATCTTAAAGCAGTTGTCTTATAAGACAAAGGAATACATTAAGAATATACAAATGCAGATATTATAGAAAAAAGAAATATGACCTCTTCTTTTGACATGAAAGGCAACACAGGGAGAAGAATTTCAACATCCTGTCCAGTGAACATGCCAAAATGAGTAAAGCAAAAGTACAAACTTTAATAAAACCACCTCAAATCTTTAGGGATTATCCAATAACAAGAAAGCCAACTACTAAAGTAATTGAGTATTCCTTAAAAGTGGTCATCGAAAATAGTTTGTCCTACATACACAACTGCTTTCAGAATAGAAAACATAGTTGAGACAAAGAAAAATCACTGTAGATATGGATGTGGTAGTATAAGATATGCATTTCATACCTTCAATTTTGTCTCATGTAACTTCCTAACTAGAGCTATTAGCACATGAGATGGGACTATCCCCTCAATCAAGATACGAAGAACCTACAGTAAAGCACAAATGGCATCTGTTACAAGCTTACAAATGTTCTTGACGAATCTCAAGCTGACACGTGCATATGAAATTTATGAATATGTCAAACAGACCTGAATCAAGAGTTCCTCACTTCCAGATGGTGGATCAGATATGATTTCAAGAAGTACAGGTGATGAGCCAATAGTCCTAACCAACATTGGCATTTGAGCATCAACTGCCTGTCAAGGATAGCCAGTTGTTTGTAAAGCTTAGACTCCAAGTTTACGAAGAAATATGCAAAAATAAATAAAAATGAGTTAGACTACTGGATATTGAAAAAACCTGTTTCACTGCCTTGGATCCGCTTTTATAAATGGTGAATATTTGCCGAAAAAGGAGGTGTTTCTGTCATAAAGATATTTAGGTCCAACAGATGAGCATAAAGAAGTCTTGCATAAAAAATAAGCTTTAACTAGCAATCACGGGCACCAAAAAGAAACCTTTGTACACAATGCAAAATACAGTGACATGGAACGCTGAACTTCAGCTACGGAGGCATGGCCAGAAATGGGTGACTGGTGCATGTCAGACGATATCTCTTTTGTCTCAGCAGAAGTAGATGGCTGTTCATTTATACTTCTATCCAAATTAGAATCCTGGATGAAATAGCAAAATTTGAATGCCAATAGGCTAACAATGTTTGTGATCTATCAACCAAATTTTGATGACATAACTCAGTTCCAATTCCAGTTCATTTACTCGCCAATATCAGGGACCCATATTGGTAATAACACAAAAAACTTCTGCCCACCCCCCACCCACCCACCCACCACCCGCCTTCTGGATGGCAGTAGAATGCTTTGGATTGCCAATACTTTTAGTGTGAGTAAACATTGTGATGTGACGACTACAAACAAAAAGTTTAATGATTTCCTCTTTATATTTAACATGATAAACAATGAACGCTATAAGAAGACCTTGATTTGTAACACCAATTTCAATTTATAAGAAAACCGGTCACTTGCAAAGCAATTTATAGCAGTTGCAAGAAGACCTTGATTTGTAACACCAATTTCATACTGCATTCATTATCTCATGATTATAAATTTAAATGAAAGAAGTTCCAATAAGACAAAAACCTTTTTAAGCTAGCACTGGAAAAATGGTATTAGAAGCAACATAACAACAACTATTGAAGTGGCTTTCATTTGGAAAAGATTTAGGATCATAGTTATTAACACCAACCTGTCGTAAGTCAATATTAGACCCACCATCATTTGAACTTGTTTTCTGATTGACATTTAGGACTGATAATAGCTTGTCATTTGCGAAAGCTTCTATTTGTTGAGAGATGGATGGTAAAGGGTAAAGCCTATTTGCAACCTGAAAAGTAAGAAAGTTAACAGCAATAGCAAAAATGAAGGATAAATATGATCATGATGATGATGGTGATAGCGAGAGAGAAAGCACCGACAACAGAGTAATCTCATTTTTTATGAAAACAAGTTATATACCACTTACCAGCCGTATTGCCTTCATACGCACTTCTTCAAGGTGATGTGTAGTACTCTTGACAAAAAAAACTATAAATCAGATCATCATGAAGTGAAGAATCATATTTAGCAAGACCAAAGATATGTGAGCTTTTCATAGAAAATCCATGTGTGAAGGAAACCTGTAGAACAATATTAAGGGATGTACTCCGAATCGGAGGTCTCAGTAAAATTAGGCTCCACGCAGCACTGAGGCCTTGTGTTACTCGATCTCCACTGTATAACTCCTTCTCATTACTATCACTACTACCAGGACAACACAAACACTCTAACAAATTGAAGATAGAGTCTGGTAGATGTGGAGCATCACCAAGCAATCTACTTAAACATTTATCAGAGGCTGGAAAAGAATCCCTAAGTGTTTCTGCCTGTAAGATCAATGTAGAAAAGAAGAAAAAGAAAATCAGCGCATTACCTGATAATAAGTACACATAGAAGAAAAATAATAATTGTAAAAAATGTATGCACCACTGTAAGAAGGAACATTTCATAAGCAGACTCTGCAGCTGTTGATGAAAAAAAATCTTGATCCTCTTCTGCTTGGCCATATAACCTGTAGAGGACACGTAATGTCAACTCGTGCCCCTAAAGGCACCCATTGATCAGTCAAATTCATCAAGGAAAAAACACGAGTGTGGGAAAAGTGAAACTACTTGCATAGTACATTATTGATGTATAATTGATAATTTTTCAGAAGAGTAAAGGTATAGAACATAAGAAAAGAATATAATAAACAGGTACGTATGTAACATGTAAATAACTCATTTAAAACTAAAACAAGGTCATTAAAGGAAGAACACAAAACAAAAACTAGAAAGAAAAGAATTGAATACATCAAAATAGAGAAGGCGAGAAATAAAAAGCAGGGAGGGGGGGGGGGGAGAAAAGAATAGAAAGAGGAGAACGAGCAAAACCCAATTAGATGTTGAAAAAGGGATGGGCCTCAAATAGGTAAGGTCAGTTTGAGTTCGGTCTGTCTCTCTCAACAACCACTTTACAATAAAGGTGTGGTCAAACAAAATGAATTCAAAATGGGGGAAGCAACAAATAATGAAATAAGACAAATCAAGATAGCAGCAGCAAAACAATTAAATTGGCAACAATATGCAGTGATGCAAATAATTTCAGAGCCAATATCAAGCCTGCAGAAACACCTAGTACAGGTAGTATACCATGATTACTATCCAAGGAAAACAAGACATTCAGTTACCTACATACCTCATGGTTCACATAATCTGACAATATGTGCACCTGCAGCATTTTCCATGCATCTAAATCTGAGGGAAGCTGAATCCAAAAATTATGTACAAAATTAGATGGGGGGAAATAGAACAAAAAATACTTTATAAGAGGATTTCATTATGAAGATGCCTCAAACCTTAACTGCTAAATGAGCAAGAATAGACAAACGAGCTTGAGAGCCTCCTGCAACTGCTACTTGCTTGTAAGCATCGATTACACGCATCAAAACTGACTTTTGTAAATTGTCTCTTTGTTCATCAGATAGTCGCACAACAGGTGCAGACATCACCGGAAGCACCAACTGCGGAGACCGTCCAATAGAGGTTGCTGTGGACAGGTGGATGCTGGTAGCATCTGTTGATGCTGTTTTGGGACTAAGCTCCTCAGATTTATCGGTTGAAAAAGACAGAAGAACTTCTAACTGTGGCCTTGCTAGACCAGAAACTTGCTTTTGATTGACCTCATCCAGGTCGGTGGAAGCTGGCAAAGGAACAACTATACCTGCTAATCCGTCATTCTTAGAAAGAGAAGAATCTATGCCAGGTATTGGATTCTCCACACCCCTAATGTCAGCAACTTCAGATGCAATCACTGAAATTTTCTCCATGGTTGAAGGAATTCCTTCAGAAATAGAAATAGGTGTTTGAGCTAGATCACTTGCAATATCTTGGGAATCTGATGCCGCAGCATCCATACACTGACGAATAATCAATGATTGCTCCTCTCCCCTTCCAGATTGCTGTACGTTCAGTATGTCAATAAACACATGTTATCATGTTTAATCATAATAAAAATAGAAGCAGCAGGCACGTGCATTAGAATCAAAGATATAGTTGATAATGCACGCAGGTGGGACCGATGTCCATTACTGTAATGAATGCAAGACAGAACCAAGCAACTAATTGCATATTTTCAAAAAGTACGGACCTCAAGCGCACAAGATAATTGAGCATCTAGAGCACCATCATTCAGTTGCAATGTGTTGGGCCGTAAAAGGATGTCAGATAGCAATAAGGACAATTGTCTTAAGCCAGTTCCAAGGGTACTGGCACCAAGATGTGAATTTGCCGTTAAAAGTTCATCTTCTACTTCAGAATTGAGCCGCTTTTGGGGGACATTTTGCATGTTGGCCATCACAACTTCAGCTAGCAAGTCAGCTGATATACTTGAGATAAGAATTTCTAGAGATGGCATGGCCTTTTCACCCTTTGCAACTAATGCACTAAACATTGCAACGAGTTGCTGCACCGCATTGTTATCACTATCTGTTCTAGATGTAGTTGGCTCACTCGAAGAACGGTTATCCCTTTGAACATCTAATTCCACTTTCCCTTCATTAACAGCAGGAACGTGTTTTGGACGTTTTCGAGGCATCTCATCATCAACATCAACTGAATTGGCAATAGCTTCAACCCCTTGTCTTTTTGTCCCAGAAATGCCACAACCAGTATCCACCGTTTTAATTGACGATTTGGCATCCTTAAAAGAATAAGAACTTCTTAAGAAACTTCATATCAAACCAGAAGGAAAATTTACTCTGAACATACAGTTCTGGAACAAATCAACAAATAATGGCACATACCTCCAAGTCACATACTTCATTCTTTAGCTCAGCATTCCCATTGGTCTGGAAAACCTGATGTGCGCCTTGGTTGGTCAGTCCTCCAGGTTCCATTTCTCTTAGTGCACCAATCAATCGGTCCCTCCACTGCAAGGAGTCAATTTTAAAAACATAAGGTTTGAAAGACTGACATCGAGTTGCTTCTTCAAAATCTGTCCTAGCCAGAAAGTATTTTTCACTCAACAAAAAGCAGGGCAACGTTTCTAAGGGAGCAAATAGAATAAATAATATTTGATAGAAGGAGAAAACAACTATGGCATATGATTAAGCCAGAGGAGAATATAGAAGGAACCCAAATAGGAATTTCAGGAATAGACATGTGTAGAATTGTAGAGCTTATAAGGCATGCACTGGGAATTGAAGTACCGGAGCAGAACCAGGATGTGTACAATTTAAGCATGATAGGAATGCATTCTTCAGAGAATGATGCACCGCATAAACACGCTTCCCATTAATATCAGATGTTGAAGGATCTAGCCCCATTAAAACAGGAAGGATACGGCCATAGAAAGCAGGCCTTTTTGTAGCAATTGCTGAAAGGCTGGAAGGATTAAGCTAATGTGAGCATGGGACTAAGCATTCATAGATTTGAGGCTAATAAATAAAAGATGCTGACATGCCATCTCACAAACAAGTAGTAATAGTTGTAGATCCATACCTGTTGATGACCACAATGATCATCAAGTAACTTAGTGACTTTATGGCTGGAAATCTTAACTGATCAAGTAGTAAGCTCAAACTATTACTTGCTTTAGCTGATAACTCTCCAACACTGAGTATTGGATGCCCTCCACGAAGCCATGATACATTAAATTCTTCAAAACTTCCTGAGTTATGTGAAAATAGTTTGCAGGAAAACCCCATAAACTTCAGTGAATAGCTGGCATTATCATAAAAAAATTAAGAAAATTATTCATTCAGGGTTTCACACCAAATACCTTCAGCACTTATATTAGAGGGTGGCTCTGAGCTGACATTCGGATTGGGCGTGTAATGTAGAATAACAGATTCCACAAACTTTATTGCTAGTAAACTTCTTCCATCAATTTCTGGCTAACAACAATTTTTACAAACGGTAAATGAATAGCAGGAGAAACCAACATAGCAGGTAAATGAAATGCAGAGGAGCCTCATTAAATGACTGATTGACAACACTGCACATAGCTCTCTATTGAAGTTTTCAAGTACCTGAAATGCCAAAGCATATATTTCATCCATAAACTTCTGTACCCATTCCCAAGAAGAGTCGAGTGAATCATCCAATTCACTTGAATGCAAGCCCTGAATCAGCAAAGTTATGCATTAGAAAGTATCTGTGGGGAGGAGGGCAAACATGGAGTCAGAGAACATGGGCATTAATACAATAAGAGCTTGTTTATTGTTAGACGACCTACAAACTGTGAGAGAAGTACAAGCGCACATGAATACTGGAAAATTAGCATCGGAAAGATTTCGGCATTGGACCTCTTTACATGTGGAGCTAGAGAGAGGTAGCAAAATAGTCTCTAACACACTACGGATAGATTGATAATAAACCAGTACATAATATTGAAAAGTCAGCTTTCTAAGTTAGATGTCCTCACCTGAACAGCAACTTTAAACAGCAGAGAACGAAATATCTCAATACCGCATATAATAGACTGTCGAGCAACAGCAGGTGTGTCGTCCTTGAGGGAAGTAATCAGTAAAGGCATAATTTCAGGTAACAATTCAATGTGCTTGATTCCAATAGGAGCTAGCATCCTGTATAAAGAGAAAACAATATCAAAATGGCCCCCATGTCAACTCCAGAGGAAACAGAAAAAATTGAGTGGCTGACTTATAAACAATGTGAAAACTTGTTATGTTACTACTAAATTCATCTGAAACGTATGCCAATGTGGGATATTACTGGGTAATGTGGGACGGGCAGCCGCTACGCTTGAACTTTTTGAAATAACATAAAGAATTAGGTGTACCCCTAACTTGCATGAAACTTGAAAGAAAACGATGGAAGAAAGTATACTCTACTATGAGCTTGCGAGCTGGACTAAATCGATCGGAGACGAAGTCAAGGATAAGAGGGAGGGTCTCTGAGAGCAAGACGGAGTCAGCGTCAGAGAGCTCATCCTTGAGACGGCGCAAGAAGCCCATCTTCGACGGAATGGCTGCAGCGCGCTTGGACGAGATCAGAAGACCTGCCACTTTCTCTCTGGAAATTGCTGCCATCATCCCGGCCATGGCCAGGTCCCAAAAAGACCTAGTTCTATGAGCTTGAGTCACCCGGTCTCGTTGAGAATTCTTGCGCCGAAAAAGATTATCCTCGCCGGATTGCGTGAACGGAAGATGAAGGTCTATACCAGACCCCAGTTAGGAATTTCGGAGGGAAAGCTTCCACGCAGTAGATTTCAGGCGGACCAGTAGGGGCGAATGGCATAATCCAATCACAATTGTTACAGGGTATATTTGTAATTTTATGGGAAAATGGTCAAAACAGGCTTTACTATTACTTTGAAAGCATCACATAAAATCGTCTACATAAAACTCGTCACTTTAACATGTTTACAGTCTTTGAAAAATCTAACGGGCCCCTATGTGAGAAACCCGACCCCCGACTATCAATGAAAACCTACGTGGATGGGTAAAGTTGTCAAATGTGGATTTTTTTTCGTGTACCACTCAAAAGCTATGTTGTAAAAAGTTAAAAATCGGACCGGTGAATGACCCGGCCGAGTGATTGGGTCACGGGTCAACCCGGACCCGCCGGGTTAACCCGGTCAACGCCGGGAAAACCCGATCAACAACAATACATATAATTAATTAATTATTTATTTAAAAGCTTAAATTCCTAATAGAAAAAGTATACTCCATAATATATTATGGAGTATACTGATATATACTCTATAATCTATAATGGGTTTCCATTATATATATCATTATTATATATATAATAATGATAATACAGTATATGCAATGTAAATAACAATATACGTATTATTTAAGTATTGAATGCAAGGAATATAAATGATATAATTTTTCAAGAACTTTGCTCTTTGAGATTAGTTTGAACAAGAATGAGAATTACTAAGACAAACGGGATTCACCTAAATGCTTTAATAGTTATGTAATAATAGTTCTTTCCCAATAATTATGAATACGATGTCGCTAATATATTCGCAACTCCAGTTAAGGCAGCTAGAGCGTGGTTTTCGGTACGTGTAAGTCCCGTTACGGCTTACATTCATCTATCGAAAACCCCGTTGAATATCAAGATATCACACCCGTATCATATAAGACCGGATATATTTCTATTCTCGGTACTATATATGTTTATCCTTTAATGTTCATAGTTTAGACTTCAACGTTAATTGTAAGCATAAACTAAATTTAACATACTTCTATGTTGTACACCATAGTCATAAACAATCAAAATATAAAGGATAAATCACAATTTATTGGTTTAGAACTTTTATCAAACACCTAGTATGCATAGAGGTTCATCCCTAGCTTTAGCTAAGAAATTAGCCTCTAATGCTCATATAAATCACAATACAATATTGAAATGTAATGGAACATGAAATTACAAAGGAAATAATACCTAAACACCAATGGTTTCGGAGGTTGAAGTTTCCTCATCAAGAACTTGAAGAACAATAGCAAAAACAAAGTATGAAAACTAGGAATTAAAGTATAGAATGGGATGTGTTTGCTTGATGAATTGGGGGCTTTATATAGGCTTAAGAATGACATCTTTTAGTCTATTCAAGTCCAACAATCAGGTATGGAGCAATATTTGATCAAGAAATGAGGAAGATGAACTTTTCCCATCAAAAATCCTCTTGCATGTTGGCCTGTTTTGTGCAGAAATTGCCTCAACCGGCGCCGGTTATGTCCCGACCGGCGCCGGTTCAAAACAAGCTTATTTTGCTCGAAAATATTCACCTGACCGGCGCCGGTTGCTGAGCCAAAAGATATACTTCCTTTCTTTTCCTCTTTTATGGATCAAAAAGTGTCAATTTTTGTCCCGGGATTTTGGGGATGTTGCGCTACGAATTTGGACATTCTTTCTTCACCAAAGTTGTAGATAATGAAGTCTTCTATCCACCAAAACTTGAATGACGCGATTTTATTCATCCAATCAAGAGATATGAATAAAACACTGAGAAGTATGCATCCTGAAATCCCACCAGCAATGTCTGACTTTATTGGTTGATTGAGTCTTGTTCCTTTCATATTTTGGTCATGACGTCTTCATAACATTTGTACCTTATTGAGTTAACATTCACATGAAATTCGAATAGAGTGATTTGGAGTTCTCTAAAATAAGTTATACTCAAATCATAGGCAGAACGTCATCCTTTTGGTCCAAAAAGTCATTCATCGCAATGATTATTGCTCTAGCTCGTATTCTGAAGATATTTGTCCGCTTTCTCTCCCTTTCTTCAACAAATACTTATGAATACTTATGTTAAACACAAGTAAATATAACGGCTATCAAATACAACATGGTGAAAATTTAAAAAAAACTTGAACTTTCCTATGTGAATGGTGAGCTTGGTATTGTTAGGCTGGACCCGGATTTGATTTCATTTCCTCATCTGGTAAAAAAACTTGAACTTTCCTATGTGGTTGAGATATTTGCAGAGAAAAGATAAATAACAGAAAACACAAATTCATTTATTAGAAGGAAAAGTGACAAATTTTTTGAAACATCAAAAAAAGGAAAGATGACAAAGTTATAAGGAATTGATGGAGTACAATGCAATTGTTATAGCAACATGCATCAACAAACAAGACTTTAAAAATCATATTTATGAATCAAACCGAAAAAGGTTATTGAAAATCAAATTATTAAATCGAACCATAAATCATAAGATGTTACAAAACATATATATTAATAATTACAAAAGAAATAATTAAATAGTACAACAAAGCTACAAGTTAATAGTACGTACTAAGTCACCTCACTATAAAAATTAAAACGTTAACACAAAGATAGTCAACTATACAAGTATTCATTACTTTCACTGAAAGCATTACTGATCTTGATACTATTCGAATTATATATCAAAATATAATAGTGAATTTTAATAATTTTGAACCACTTTCAATAAAAACTCATCACTATGATTCTATTACAATTTTACACGCTTTTGTATAATTCCGTTACGAGTTTGTATGTTTTAGTGTGCGATTCAGATCAATTTAATAGTGAAAAATCGTAGAATTGTAAGTTTTTCTGGTTTAGATTGAGATTTTAACAACCTAAGTAATCATTTACTCCTTTTAACAAGTATGATGACATGGAATGAGGTACATACTACAAATTTTGAAAATTGGGTTCTAAAGAACAATGTCATACAATATAATAACACCAATAGCACAATCAATCCATTACCACAATAACAACAATTTGGTAGCTAAGCTAACGTTAGTCATGATCATAATCGTGGGATGTGGGGGTTAATATTTGAATGCATTCAAATCAATATATGGAGTACATGATAAGAAAACAAATTCAACTTTTGCTATATAGCTAGATGTAGAAAATTCTATCGGGACTGTAAAAGGGCACACTTTATTTGATGCTATGTAGATGTAATATTATCCAATGAGAACTTGAATTTAATAAAATAACTGAAAAGATTTTTGGTTAAAACTCTAGTATAAAATAAACAACTAGTGTAACACCCGGGGCATGCCCCGGTTGTGACACTTTGATAAGTATTATATCTGTCACTTGTCTTACTTTGGTTTTAGCGGGGTTATGTATTTTTTGTTTGGATTTGAGGAATGACCTCCAAATTTAAAGAAATTATATTGCTTTAGGGGCTTTATCTATTTTTTATTTATTTATGGTGTAACTCTCTTGAAAATACTTCAAATGATCAATTTTTAAGATCTCTCAAATTGAAAGGGTCTGAAGGATAACAAATTTAATGATAAATTTAGTTGAACTCAAAATGAATATAGTAAGTTTAACTATTATACATTTTAAACAATTGTAATTATACTTTCTATGTAACCTCTCGCCTCAACTCTCAAACACACCCCTAAAATGTCTTTCACGTAAAAAATCAAGTAGAAACAAAATAAAATGTTCAAAATAGTTATTATCTAAACAAAATACAATGTTCAAAATAGTTATTATCTAAAAAAATACGGAGTATATGAAATTGGCAATTATATCATGAAAATATAATTCAAGTATATATTGTTTTATATAATAAAACTAAGTTATAGCAGAATAATGAAATTAACTGAATTGACTGAACTGAAGTGATTCCAAAAGGAATGTTTGGTAATTTTGAAATTAGCCGAGTTGCCTGAATATTCTGAAACCGATGAAATTCAAATTAAATTGGCTGAATAATTTGAATTGTGAAAAAATTAAATTTAAAATGTATTTTATTAATGAAAAAAGATCAAATTATGAAATAATTATGAATTTATGACTAAAATAAAGAGTACACAAAAATGTGACATCTTAAGTGTAGTGACTATAGTAGTTATTTTAGTCATAGAAATTTAAGTTCAAGTTTTACATTTAATGTGCCCATGACATTCTATTAAAAAGTAATTGTGACATTATACTTAGGTCATCTGACTCATCTCCAACATTTTACACCAATTTTTGCACTAAAATGGTGTAAACATCACATCATACAGTATTTTATCTCCAACAGTTTACACCATTTGCATCACTAAAAAGGAATATTCCTTTTTTTATTCTTTTTTTACTAACTTTTTACCATTATTAATATATTTAATTATCTAATTATCATATATTTATACATTAGCCCCTCATTTAAGATGTATTTTGGCATTCACACATTATTTCACAAATACAAACTAAAATACTACTATAATCAATATTTCACGCATGAAACATGTATGGGTTGAATGACTACTAATTTCTAAATTAGTGTGTATTATGTATGATTTTAATAATTTTTTTTTTAAATTTTAATGGTGTTATTAATTGTAATTTTAAGAGAAATTACCCTAAATAGGACTAAAAGCACTTCTATATTCCAAAAATAGGACTGCCATGTTTTTATTCCCAAAATAGGACTAATTACTGGCTTACTGCCATGTTTTGGCAGTACCAGGCTTTAAAGATAACAGTATTTTCCAAACTTGACAGTAATTACTCCTATTTTGGGGGGGGGGGAACATGACAGTCTTATTTTGGAATTTTTCAAACTTATTTAGTCCTCTTTCGGGAACTTTCACTAATTTTAATTGTGTTATTTTCTTAAGTATCATTTGTATGCTGTTATTATGTTGTTTCGATTTGAAACTTAAATTTTATTATATATATTTTTTATTTTCTATCAAATTAATAATTTAAATTTGATTTTCTATAATTTGTTGTTCTAAAAATGGGTCAAAACTATAAATATCAAATTTTTGGGTCACATTTGAAATAAAA